ATAGCAATTTGCGAAAAAATTGAGTCCTTGACCCTAGTATTTTCTTATCGCAAATAAATTTGGCATACTTTATTTACATGATTCCAGAATCTTAGAGGTTTTGACCAAATGAATAAAAATCGCCCAAGCCACTTTCAGTAGTGGTAGGACCTGTGATTTGTGCAATCGATTTTATCACAAATCTTATTTTGTCAAAATGCCTCTAAACAAGAGAACTGATACTTTTTGGGCTTGTGTACCTTTGGAATCGGTGCATCATGTCAGGCCTGCGTCTTCTCATGCTTTGTCATAGCCTCAGGTTAAACTTTGCTCTCATCAATTTGACGCCACCCAAGGAGTTGTGATACCATCTATTTATCAGCCAAGCGTGTCATATTGAGAGTTGGAGATGGATTTAAGTAAGAGATATATTCTTGATTGTTCAAATGAAGTTGATGCTCTAAACGTATTTAATTCTGGGATTAGATTGGAGGGATTGCAAGAGGGCATATGTGGTGATCTGCCTAGTCGCTGGGAATCTTTCATACCCTCGGAATAGTTTGCTGCTCTTTTAAAGGACATTAGAAGCTCCAGTCATATAGTCCAATAGTCTATTAACCATGTTGAGTGTCGTTTAGACGACCATGATTGCCATATTGTCGAGTTAGAGACGTTAAATTCTGCTATGAAAACAAGGTTTGGTTGCCCAGATAGTATGAGGGAGCATCCAAATAATTCCTTCCATGAGTTGAGGATAACGGGCTTGCCTCCTTATATGGGATACGGGCTATCTAAGGCTGTAAACAGAACTATGATGGTTTTGAGCTTGCAGGCTTTTATGTCTCATATTATTAAAGTTCGTCTGTTTGTAAATAAGCGTGCGTTGGAGACGGGGCATAGCGATGAGAGTGAGTTTGGCTTATTTGAATGGAAATACAATGACTTAATTAATTTTTATTAGAATATCTCAAAATTTTCCAGTGTAACACTTACTTTGTTAGGCGTCATTTAAAAAAGGATGTTTTTTTCGACAAAATATGTGTGCTCTTACAACAGAAAATGATGATTTATTCAAGTTTTTAAGTTGTTTTCATCGCGTGTGAGAGCTCCACCACAAACAAGCATACGTATTAGAAAATACTATATTAAATCAATAATATTTCGAAATATGGCAGGGTAGGCGATATAAATAATTACAACATTGAATTCAATACATTTTTAACTATTAAATTCATCTGGTCTTGGTTCGGGAATAGTCACGAGGGAGCCTCCTTAAATCACCTTCAGCCCGTGACTCCATACTGCAAAGAAAAGTGTTTCAGTGATTAGAAATTTCTGATGTTTACCCGCAATTTTTCGGAAACAATGTAATAAAGCTTTACCCAATGTGGTTTTTTTCAACTTATTCACTATTATTAAGAACTAAAGCTCAAGCTAAGAGTGTTGATTACAAATATGTTTGGGCAGAAGGAAGGTTCGTCCATGTAAAGTTTATAATCCAAAAGATAATTCTGGTGTGATGAGTATAGCTAGGTTTGGAAATTTTGCTCAACAGTCAAAATATATTGAAAATTTTTTTCGAGGGTAAACCTAGGGCTTTCCAGAGTTTTAGTTTTCTTCGTAGATTTGTAATAGTTGGGGGATTGCCATGGTTACCGTTGTGTATCATGTCATCTGTGGCACTGGCCGAGCATTTTTCAGTGGTGTCTTGTGCCCGTTTGCCGTGCACTGTTTAAGAGCTAATGAGTATCTAGAGGGATGTAGATGCTTGGCTTAAAGCCTTTTTCTTCGGTCTGGTGTCGTGCATGGAGGTATCTCAAGCGATCGTGCATTGTATGGTTCGTTCACGTGGTAAAAGTTTTAATAGATTGTCTTTTTCACATTTTTGTGGCTTTCTTGCAGCGATTGTGAGGTTTCCTACCAATATTGTTAATCCTTCGTTCATTTTCTGCAAATATCCTGGACCTTGGTGATAATACATTAGAGCAGAATAGATCTTTCTGCGGACACCGTAAGGTAGCCGTCATTATGGTCTGATCGATCGCACGCTATTGTTGGTCTGAACGAAGCTCAGACTAATTTTCTTCCATGCACGTCAGGTATACTTTAGGGATTAATTTCGTTTATAATAGTTATAGATTTTATCCTGTCTGTAATGTCTTATAGTACAGGTATACTATTTGTGGACGACTTACACGCATATACATAATACAGGCTTACGGAGCTTCCTGGGACAGTGAGTAGGTTCAATAATGATTTTTCTCGGATTGTGGCTTGGGCGTTTGAGTTCGGCCTTCAGCTCTATTTAAGAAAGACGCACAACATACTGATAGCCACTTTCCAGACCTTTGTGCAAATTGATACTGACACCTTGCCTTCCCTACAGGCTAACGGTAAAATGATCTCGTTTGTTAATTCAGTTAAGAACTTGGAGGGTATCTCTGTCGTGAGATCTCTCAGGGAACGCTCCTGTTGCAGCAACATACTCATGAGGTACTGTATTGTCCTTGGTAAAGGGGTGTTACCCTTTGGCGTCAACTTAGGACTACCCTTGCCGTGAGTCTCGTTTTGCCTTATTTTGACTAAGCGTGTTTGATTCTTCTCACTATTCAGTATTATAAAAAGCTGGATTGGTTGCGACCAAGCTTTAGGTGGAAGTACTTTTTTGTTGTATTTGCCTACAATCTCTTGGCCTCTGGTAAGCCTTTGTATTTGCCTGACCTTCTCGCTCCGTTAGTAAATGAGCTCCATTGCTCTGCGCGTCGTGGTCAGCCAACGTTTATAATTTCCCCTGCATCACTGTCATCATACACATCAGCCTTTTCCCACAAAGTTATACGAATATGGGATACTATTCCATTGGGTATTAGGCAGATTAATTCGTTTGATATTTTTAAGACAACCCTTTGTCGTTTTTATTTAGAAACAAAAAGTGATTGATTGCCATGCACGTATGGGCTCATAAGATACTTTTGTAACATTAAAAAGCGCCTCTCGTTATAATTGAAATAATACTGATATGGTTGTGTTGGCAGTATTATTCTTGTCATTAATTCTTACTTTTTTTTAAAGCCTGCAGGCGTAGTACCAATAGAAATAAAACTAAGTGCAATTAAATATAAATATAGGTATAATTATGTCAAACTGTTAGTCATGTAAGAATTAAATTCTCTAAGGATTTGTAATAGTCGCCTAAAATTGTTGAAATTGTGAAAATTGTCAAAATTGTAAGAATCGCAAGAATCTTCGTATATCAGGATATATCGCCATTCGGAGGTTATACTCTTGGCATAAGAAACGGGCTTTTGAATCAAAATCAAAGTCTCTCTGTCTGGGATACCTCTCTTTTATTTTAATATTCACATTGATCCCCTGGTAAAAACTTTACCACGTATATTCAATATTTCCTTTTAGTCTAGTTCGTTTCCGAAGGACTTGAAAATAGCTTTTATCAGACCTGTACCTTAGAAGTCTGGGGCAAAATACTTAAATGATCTTTTACCTACAAGTATCCTATTTTAACGAAAGCAGACTGTGTTCTATGTCCTACGTCAAATCTAGATTAGTAAGTACTGAGTAAGTCACGTGAATGGATGTAGTCCTGCCCGTGCTATGTTAAATTTTTTAATTCATAGCTTATAGTCAACTTTTTAACTACATCCATTCACGTGACTTACTCTGTACTTCTAGATTTTACGTAGGACATAGTACACAGTCTGCTTTCGTTAAAATAGTTGGCAAAATTTAAGAACTTTCTGATAACCAAAAAACTACGCTGCTGGTTTCTATAAATAGGTCACGTGCCTTTGACGCTGTCAACATCAACTTACTGTGTGAAAATCTGGTGGCTGGTGGCCCATGAAATTCTAGGTGATGCTAACGATATGTTGCATAATATCTGCGTCTGGGTAGACTCCAATAGCCTGTACATGAATCCTGCTAAGCCACATGCAGTCTGGTTTGGTACACGAGAAACACAAGCCTAGCTCTTCAATCAAGTGATTCCAGACATCAAACTTGAGAGCCCTATCATTATGCTTAGTGATCCCATTAGACTCCTTGGTGTAACTCTGGATGCCAATCTTAAGTTCAGGCTTCATACCATCAAAGTGACTAGTAAAATTCTTGGAGCACTTGGAAGACTACGAAAAATGCTTACTTTTTGCCAATGAATACCAAACTCATGCTTGTCAGCTCATTAGTCATACAAAATAAAGTAAGTTTCTCGTTTAAAATGCATATTATTTGTAAGTGAGTGTAATAAACTTTTTTTTTGTATGCTGACTTTAACGTACTTTACGTAAAAAGCTTATATTTCAGAAATACCGCAGTATTAACTTATGAAATAGTAGCATTTAAAGAGAAATTTTTTTTTTGTACATTAAATCACCGTTGAATAGGTATTATTTAGCTTGGAAGAATAACTTCAACAACTGACGTTATTTTTTTAGGTGCTAAGTTATTTAGGATTATTATTATTAGATAGATATTAGTTAAGAAGGATTATTATTGAAATAAATGCTTATAAAAGACCATTGTCTATAAGAGGCTGTGTATTCTTGTGACTTATTTTCCCTTGAAGGTAGCGCTATTTTAAATTGCTATACAAAACAAATATGTTGTTCTCCTTCACTTTGGAATCAGCGTTGGTGATGAAAAGTTAATACTGGGCAAACTCTGATCCCATACGTTCAGTGCTTTAACATCACAAAACTTGTACACCTTAAAAGGAGTATCTTTTTGAGTTCAATAGACAATAATTTAGTAATGTCTACATGCATATGAGGATAATAGTAGCACTTACTTTTCTTAGTGTAACTATATATATTTTGAAAATATTGTAGCAAAATTTATGTTTATTTCGTAAATCCTCAATTAAGCATACATAGCTGTGAGCTCAAAGTCTACAATGCTTTAACGTTAATTTTCAACTTTCAAATTAACTTGACTTTTTAACTTTTAGTTTCAAGTTTTAGCTTTTTTAATTCATAGTTATTAGCTTCTTAGCTTATAAAACTCACCTATCGCTATTTGAGGAACGTGAGGTCTAATATCAGCTGGCTTAAGATTTGTTGCAAGTGGTGTGCTTGGGCCGTTAACAAGTACAGTACCAATATAGTTCAGAAGCTTTTGTGCTCGATTACGACTTGGTTCGAATTGAAATAGCTGTGGGTTTTCATCAATAAAATATGTATCAATAATACCATTTAAAAATTTCTGATTTTCCAATACATTAAGTAGAAATGGAATATTTGTTTTTACACCACGAACACGAAACTCACGAAGGGCTCGATTCATCTTTGCACAAGAAGACTGAAGGCTTCCAGCATGTGAAATTACCTGAAAAAAACAGTGTACTTTGTAACAAGCCATATTTTAACAGAATTTCAAAAGTTTTTTAAGAAAATCATCTTATTATTCACAAAAATGAACTGATAAATTTAATTACTTTTTATAATACTGTCAGACATATTAAAGCTACATGAAAAAGGAACTTTTAAAATATCAGTTTGCAAATACTTATCACTCTTGAATGCACAACCATGAACTTATTAACGGCTAAGCTATTAGGTAATGATTAAGCAAAATGTAAAAAAAAAATGTTACTCTTGTACTTACTTTGTACTTATTACTTTAGATTTGCGAACAGGGTTATATAAATGTTACTATTACTTAAAAGAATTTTTTAGTTGCTTTTTATTTTATCACTACTCAAATTTTGAAACTGTCATATAATTTACATATAGAACTTGCACAAGTGATAAGTAAACGAAAGTACCGTTATCTGGACATCATGTATTATTTTAAAAATGTTTAAAGAAAAAGACATCATCACTTACATATGAAAGATCCATGCATGTGTTACGATCAAGTCAAAGTACTTGCCATACGCGGGGATCCTTTTAATTTTGTTATTTGGGAATTACTAAGTCTTATCGGTGCTTAGAGCGCAATTGTTGTTAGCTCTGAGTTAGTTGAGACATATCCGATTTATTAACATTAATAAGAGAGAGAATGACTCATGTCAACTCTAAACAAATATACACAAGAAGTCCTTATCAGTATCAAAATTATTTACACTTTATTGATTCACATTTATACTGGATTAAATGTTAAGATTAACAGTATAATAAGGAGATAAAATGAGAAAATATAAAATGTGCAATTAAATTGTGCATCAATATGAAGTAAAAATTACAAAATTAATAATCTTAAATAGACAAGCTAAGTTAAAGTTACAATTATTTCAAGAAATTCAACTGTTACATTAAATAAGTTATGTAAAGAAAAGTAGACATAAAGAAAGGAAATTAAAAGCTTACAATTGGCATGAATATACCACCCACTGTTTAATTATATTAAACAACATTTTTATACGTTGATGTTCTGGCACAGTTCGATATCAAAGCTGATAGCAGCGTAGATGGTCTGATCGACCCAGATAAAATCCAATCGAATAAAGCCTGCTGAGCAATGGGGACTTTGGGACACTAAGGTTGATGAAGACTTAGTGTTAAAATTTGGGCGTATAATATAGCTTGTAGTTGTAGTTCAAGTGGCTCACTAAATGGTAAGGAGTACATTTACGTCAAGAGCGTATGCTACACATCGAGACCTGATATTGATCTTGCTCCAGCCAAGAGCAGCTCTAAGATAAACGTCACCCACTCCATCGATTGATACATATGCTGAGAAATGTTGAAGCTGCTATTTGTCAGCCAAGCGTTGCAACGGAAATGACCAGTGCTCAAATAAAATGTTTCTGGCTTTTTGATCCCACCAAGCTGACCCATGCTGTGAGTAGTATTGTTGGCGCAAAAGATGTTGTCTTACTCACAAAAACGTAAATAGGCTTATTACTTCGAATTAGTACATGTGATGCTTAGCCCTGCAAACTAAATGAGATTTTCTGGAGCAATAGGTTGAAACAGCGTGAGAGTCCAAGCAGTTCTCACATAACTGCTTTTCTAAGAAGGCCAGAGTACCAAACTAGCAGCATATCATGCCCGAGAAGTACTACAGGAAATGGGTAATATCAGTTGGGACTAAAGCCAACTTCACCACGTGCTCTCTTTTGCTCCTCTGTTTAAAAGAATGGTGACAACGCAAAACCATTATGATTCTCTTTAAAGTAGTCCATTGCACAGGAAGCAAGCCATTCAAGTAGCCTATATGCGTATTTTCGTATTGCGATCGTATACAGCGATTCAATCGAACTTACCTGCTCACGTAGACTCGTATGACCACGAGCATATTATATGGAGCTGTAATTATTAAATGTACAGTTTTCTATCATAAATTATTTAGAAGCGTCTCTTATATGCGTAACCTATTACTTTCCTCCCCCTACCGATCAGTATCAACTACTGCCATGAGAAGCGATGACATGAGCTGCGGTATCTAGCCAGAGCGGATCTTCTCAGACAAGGTTCGTGTATTTGTAAATATTACCGTCAGTCTCAAAGCAACATCTGGCCTTATGAAAGTTATCCTTTTTTCTAGCCTATTCCACCTATATGAAACAACATAACATTGTCCCTCGACTCAAAACCTACGAAGCTGGATAACACACAATATTTTTTTGAAGGTAAAGCAATTCATACTACTTGTTTAACATAATATTCATACAGTAGGATTTGTGTCAGTAGCTATAGAAGAGAGTAATAGGTCACGTACGTACAATATACATGGGTAGACTCAAGAATGTCATGTATATGTAAACAAAGCAGCGACTTTCTCCACGTTATAATTTCAAGCTCAGTCTGCATGACTTCCAGAACCCTATATTTTTGTACGTGAGTGCAAGCGAGGCAGAAAAGTATTTCGAGACAAAATATTATTTTTGATAGCCAACAAGTTTAGCCTATAAAATCAACAACTCACATGCAGCGAATACTGATCTACAGGCCATGTGATGTATACAGTGTGTTTACACTTGTGTGCATGCAAGAGCTGTTTGTTTCTTGCTGCTTTCAATGAACACGCAGTCATGTAGGAGTATACTTGCGCAAGATGCGCTAAACACAGCTGAACAAAATATTGTATCACACACGTATACACATGAAGAGAGAGTTGGGGAAAGTAACGCAATTTGTACTTTTGAGTTCACCATTATGCAATTGCATTATATCAAATATTCCATTTAAAGCCTAAGGGCATGCATGCATGTATACAGGTAAAAAGTTGCGAGCAGCTTATGGTTTGAAGCAAATTAGAACTTTCCATTAGCTCTCATCGATGCTGATCTGTGCGTTATGGCACAGTACATAGACTATTAACAAATTGTACCATGAAAAAATATAACAGATAATTCAAGAAGTTTGTTATCATTACCACAACACAAAAATAAATACTCTAGGTCACCCACAAATGAACACAATGGCAATGAAGTTCTGTAAAAATAAAAGGTTATGACTCCTGGAAGCATGTTAGCTAAAGCTTACTACCTATATAAATGGTTAGCAGTACCTATAATGTCGAAGAATTTTAGTAGAAGTAGGCCAGAGGAGTGAAATAAAAAAAGGCTATTTTAGTACCTCATTACGCACAAAATCAAACGTAGCTAATTCTATTCGTTTGTATGCAATGAATATTACCCTGAAACTAATGTTAAATTATAGGTTTGGATCACTATAAAATAAGGAACATAGTGTACCAAAATCACAATGAATAACTTTTTTGTGATTTGCTTCTAACGTTTTTTAAATACAATAATCAGACTTTTTTTTATACTGTAGGTACTGAAAATTTGAAAAATTTGAAAACCATTTAATTAAACTTGGTTGATAATGTATAGAGGTATTATAATTTGTGTCCATATCTGCGTAATTTATATTGATTATTAATTTAAAAATCTAAAGTCCGACGTCATTGAATAATTGGGTGAACGTCTTTTATGATTCTAAATGTACCATTTAATGTGTTATAAGAAATATTCATTCACTTAAGATCAATCAAAATGTTTAAAAAAAAAAAAAAAATCATTTAATGTTTAATGGTTGTGAAAAAGTTTTGGTTAGCAATAAAGAACTGACTTTTCTGCTGAGACCTATATGTTACGATGATACTGTGGCCAAAGTTATTTTTTTTTATTATATGACCGTCAAAATGGCGTTCAAAATGTGCTTTTTTGTAAGGAGTACGCTTTAAACATTTGAAGCCATGCTTGCGATATCTACAACGGTTATTCATGCAGTTTGCCTCGCACAAACTTAATATTTTCATTAAAGTTCTGTCTGGCTATAGCGCGCTAACTTATAACTATACCATATTGAAATTAGTCAAAGCTCTTTCAGTCTACAGTAATATCTAATCGAACCACAGTAGCAGTTGGCTTAATTTTTGAAAGTGTAGTGCTTGAAAAAAGTTAGCTAGGACTGTAAAAAGTCAATAGTTTTTATTAAGTTTACTGATTATTTATCGAACCACATCATTACTGCAAAAAAAATTTTTTTATAATTTAAATAATAATTTAGTCACAGTATTTCACAATTGAAATAATTGAGTAACTTAATCATAGTAGTTCTTGTTACATTTTTGTGAAACTTTAGTATAAAATAAAGAAGTAGAATTTAACTAAAAAATAGCCCAAATAAAAACTTTTTTTCTTCACAAATTTAAAGTATCTCGTTCGAATTTTAGATAACTGCTTGCCCTGGACGTCTGATAACACAATTTTTTTTCGTCCAAAACGATCATCACTTTTGGATGAAAGTGTAGCGGTTAATGACTTAGTTAATGTGCACTGAACATTTACTGCTACATTGCTCATTTGTTAATGTTTTTCGATGTCAACTAAAGCAATTTTGTCTTATGTCTATCTGCAGCATATTATGTAATTAAAATACGCTGTTTTCTAAGCCATACAATAAAAAAATGACTATGCCCATACTATCATCATAAAATATAGGTCTTAACAGTAGAAAGGAACTTTAAATTGATAATTTTTTGACCCAATCTTTTACAACTGTTCCAGATAGGTCAAGCTTATATATATTTTTAAATTGAATCATGTGAAAGTCTGTCTGTCATGTATGTGTAGTGAAGTAAGAAAAATTTGTACGAATAAAAATGACGAGAGTTATCATGTAAAAAAGATGGTGTTAATTTAGTTTAAAAAACGTTCAGTTTTTCCACCAACTTCAATGACTCTGAGTCACATTTTGTTTGGCAGCATTAAGGTAGTAGTCGAGCACTCTACAGTGCGTGCCATAATGCGCTGTAGCGTATGCGTATACTATATGTATCGCTTCGACAACTATCTCGAAAAATAACAACGTTGTAGGAGCGTTGCAGACGAATCCTATCAGTTGTGTTTATATTCGCCGCACTGTATCAAC